AAGACCCGGCCCCTCTCTACATCCACGGTGACTGTGTGGAGAGGGTCCACTCCATGAGGTTCCTGGGCGTGCACGTCTCCAACGATCTCTCCTGGTCTGCAAACACCACTGCGGTGGTGAAGAAGGCTCAGCAGCGTCTCCACTTCCTGAGGGTGCTCAGAAGAAACAACTTGGAGGAGAGGCTACTGGTTACCTTCTACAGAGCCGCCATAGAGAGCATCCTGACGTACTGCATCACAGCATGGTACGCAGGGTGCTCAGCTGCAGACAGGAAAGCTCTGCAGAGAGTCATCAACACAGCCCAGAAGATCACTGGCTGCTCTCTGCCCAGCCTGGAGGACATTGCCAACTCCCGCTACCTCAGCAGAGCTAGCAACATCATAAAGGACCCGTCCCACCCCTGTAACTCTCTGTTTGACATGTTACCGTCAGGCAGACGGTACAGGTCACACAAAACCAGGGCAAACAGACTCAGAGATAGCTTCTTCCCGAAAGCTATCTCAGCAGTAAACAATAGAAACAAAACCAGTTAAAATAGTCCACAAAATTTCACACTTTATTGATCATATTGATCACTGTGCAATAAACATACAACTATGTGCAATAACTAACTACACCAAAGATATGTTTGTTATATGTTTGATATACTGTTGTCTTTTACTCTTTTTTTTTTTTTTTGCACCAAGTGAGTAGCGCTCAAATCTCGTTGTACACTGTACAAGCACAATAAAGGCTATTCTATTCTATATGTATGTATATATGTATACATATGTATGTGTATATATATGTAATATATATATGTGTGTGTATATATATATATATGTGCTCCATATGTAAAATTTGGCTTAAATCTTTGTAAGTTTGCCTGAAATCATCACTTTTCCCAACAGTACTGTGTTGCTGCTGTGTCTCCTCCTGACCTCCATTATTCATCAATGCACAGAACAAATCACTTGCTGCGCACAAAGGGATGTGAACACATTTAGTTGACTTAGATAGGATTTAGAATTTTTCTCCCTTTTTTAAGCCTGTTTCTCTGCTAAGACCAGGGTTTAGCAGAGAAATGGGCTTCTCTAAATTACATGACTTAGTAGGACAGTGTGGTATTTGTGGTCTCAACATCTCACAAATCTTAATTTGTCACAGGAAATGATAAATAAACAATAACATAATACAATTTGACTGCAAAAAGTCTCTTTTAAATAATGATGGAGTGAGAGCACAGGGTGGAAGATGTGGTGAGCATGTTTGTCTTACTGCAACAAGACCAAACACTATGATGGCTTGAGGCCCAGTGTCCTGTACAGTTTGCCCTCTCTCCTTACGTGTGTGTTATTTCTGGGGGTCTAGTAGTTTCCTCCTACATATAGAATATAGATCAATAAACCTATACCACTTGATTCTTTTTATATTCCCTGTGGGAGCTAAACCTAGAAAGGCTTTGTTATAGTAAAAAACAACATTTAGCCTTACTCACCACTGAGTATAATTTGGCATCATAGAAAATGAAAAACTAGTTTTTTTGTATCTGCTTTTTGTTGCTTGACGTATGCAAAGATCGAGTATCATACAGATATTTACTCACTGATAACAGGAAGTTAGTGACAGTGCCCCCCCACCTTTGTGGTATTCCTGTTTGAGCAGCTGCAGCTCCTCACCAAGGCTGTTCTCCACAGACTTCATTCTCCTGCCCAGGTTATATTCATGTTTTTTTATTTGCTTGGCGTTATTTTGGTCTGCCTGCTCTAGACGGGCGTCTAGTGCAAGGAACTGTCCAGAGAATCGACACTGTGCCTCGACCTGAAGACACAACATTCAAACAACTCAGTGGCTGTACAGTTCTGCACATAGAATTTTATGTTATGCTGGGTGTTGAGTGTGCAGTGAAAAACTGTTGATGCAGTGTTGATGTGGTCAAGCAGTGAAAGAGTTTCTGCGAATGTTCCACCTTCAGTAAAATGAAACGTATAACCAAAACCTATTAGTGAAATATTGTTGGACGATATTTTATTGTCACCTTTTTCATCCGAATTATGTCATGCTCATTCCCTTGTGTATAATACCATTCCCTTGCCTCTATTAGTTTGTTTCTGAAGAGTACCTTGTCTGCTCTGACAACAAACAGGATGTGACTTGTCATAAAAACAGTTTCAGTTTCCTTTTTTTTTAAGAATAACATGTAAGACTGAAGATGAAGCCTTTACCATTTTTTTATGTAATTCCAAGCTGAGTTGCTGGTTCCTCTGCAGAATTGTCTGTGAGGAGCTGTTGTTCTGTCCACTTCTTCAGCAAATCAGTCTGTTCCCTCACCTCTTCTAACAACCTGCAGATCCTACAGAAGGAGTTGGACAAATGTGAAGAAGACGCAGTATCTTTATATAATTACAGTACCTAATGAAGATTATTATAAATAAATCAAAATGAACAAGTCCTCACATTCATTCCTAAAGATGCCAGATATGTTTTTCATCATAAGCTTTAAAGCAGTGGTCACCAGATATATTTGTTACAGGGCAAATTATTTTTCTGAACTCAGATTGGATGGTTCTGTGAGCCAGATTCAGCTGTGGGCTGATCACTGCTTTTGAGTAATACTTGGCTACTTTTTATTTAAAAGGCCTTTAGGAAGAACTCTGAATGTAAATAATAAAAGCATTTGCTGTTAATATCATTGAGTTTGGTTTAATATTAGTTTAATTCCCTGTTGCAGTATTTGTGCTACTTTATAAAAAAAAACGAACCAAATATGCATTATTTCCTAATTTTACTCGAGTCAAGAGAAAGCACTTACTTGTCCTCTAATAATTTAACTTTACTCTGGATATCAGTCTCTACTTCCCTTTGTTTGTTGTTGACCTCTGTTAAAGACACCTCTAGTCCTTGAAGGCCACGATGAAGCTGTGTAAGAAAAACATGCAAACACACATCAGGGGATTATTCTGCCGTTGTCATGAATTCACCTTTA